TACAGTAAAATGCCCTCTAAGCAAATAAGGTTACACAGGTTGTGCTTTTGTTAGTACAGACAACAAGAGCAACAGCAGAAAACCACATTGCTATTTCCTAGTGAAAAAGGCTACATGCTTCCTGGACTCAGTGACCAGCCCAGCCTGTGCCAGTCAGAGCCCCGTGGTAAATCAGTGCCCACTCTGGTGAACCCACAGCTCTGACTGGGGACAGCAGGACACGGGGATCCACTCACAGCGCCTCACTTGGGTCAGGGGGCACAACAGCCTCCACACTTATTGTGCATTAAAGATCCCAGCCCAGATTACACTGGATCAACGCGCTGAGCTCCTCGTCCTGCACCAGTTGATCCAGCCTGACCCTCAGTCTCCCCACTCCGTCGCCCGCAGTGCTCAAACCGCACCGTGGGAACCTGTAGCTGCCCCCACGAACCCAGGAACCGAGCCGAAGACTCCGCCTCTCGATGGCCCAGGAATCTGAAACGCTCCGGCCTTTTCATTGACTGTGGCCGCGGACCGGCGGCTGGAGCCAGTTAAAGAAAGTGAAAGTGCGAAGGACAAAGACTGGTTTGGGAACCCGAAGCCCAGCGAGACAGGTGTTTACTGTACCTGAGCGCAGAGGCGGAGCGGAGCTGCTCCCACCTTCCACACCTGTGACTCCAGCGCACAGAGAACAGCCTGTCGGGACCACAGCCGCGCGCCTTTCCAGGAAATCTGGAGACGACTTGCAAACAAAGGTCTCTCTGACAACAGGCAGCCCCTCCCTGTTTCTGTGCAGCCCTCCTGCCCTTCTCTGTGCCCTCACTTCCCCTCCTCCGCTACCCTCTGCTACTCTGCTGCCTCGTCCCGCGCTCCCCTGCTGCCTGCAGCGCACAGCGCCAGGGCAGACACTGCTGCGCTCTGATTGGGCGCGTCCCTCTGTTGTTCAGTGCACCTGGCCCGCAGCGTTAACCCTTCGCTGCTCTGTGTGCCCAGCACACACACTGAGCCACCCTCCGTGGGCAGCAACGCACAGACTGTGACCAGCTCTGTAAGCCTCTCTGTGTCGTAGAAAGGGAGGGTGCAGGGCCTGGCAGCTGGCTAGAATAAAATTCTGGAGGCGACTGTAAGAGTACCCCCGCCCAAACGTCACCCCAATGAAACACAGCAGAACCATCCATGTTCCCTGTGGTACAAAAAGGAATGTATGTGTCAGGCCCTGCACGCTGTACAGGGCTTGTCGTGGGATAAGAAGGTTCCACAGCCTGCTCTATTTTGTGCTTGGTGTTGTGTCTGACCTTGTTTACTGTATGTCTGAGCCCTGCAAGGAGCTGGTCAGACGCCTCGTGCCCTGCAGTCACGCAGCACAGAGAGGAGCTGGCAGGAGAAACAGGACCCTGCACACTCACTCCTAACTGTCCGGTGGCTCCAGGCTGGACAGCGAGCAGCACACCCCTGGTGCACTTCTGACCTCCCCGGGAGTACCTGTAATTGCAGAGGAACCCCCACATCTGTGCAGCCCCAACAGACAAGCTGCAGTGAAGAAAGGTTTGAAGGTGGGAGGTTCTGCACGCATGACCTGCAAGCATCTTGGGTCTCCTCATCGTGGGAAAGGAGCCGGGCTCGAGAGGAGAGGCAACCGATCGCACCAGGGGCGGACCACTGCTCGAAATCTGTAGAACCAGAGGCTCTTGGAGTCATTACAGCCATGAGCACCAGTGTATTCCACCACCTCTGACCCCTGCGTGACCTTTCACTAGCCCGTCCTGAGGAGACTGAGGTTTGCCCGTAAGCTGCTAGGGGTTCTGGTGTCTCAGGGATCAGGTTAGCAATGAATTAGAACAAGCAGAGGAGAGCTTTGGGCTCTGGGCTTTGTAATGCTTACATGATCTTAGCTGCTCATCTAACGCTACCCCTGGCTCAACGCTGAGCCCAGACCTGAGCCCAGCCTCGGCCTTCACTCTGAAACTCACCGAGACCCCAAACAGGTGCACTGAAGAGCTTCTGCTCCTTACAGAGCAGAGACAGCGACTCTCCCCCTGGCACTTGGACCCAGCATGACTGATCATTGACCAGGAGAATCGCACACAGTGCTCAGAGCTGTTTACAGCACACACCTCCGTCCAAACTCCACTCTGCTTGGCAGAAGCTCGCAACATGCAAATACAAACTGACCCAGTACAGCACTGGCTCCCGACTGGCACACACACAGCTCACGAGCAGTATAACACCCCAGTTGAGCCCCAGGAATGAAACCCCAGCTCCTCTGTCCCAGCAGGTGAGAGTGGGGGGCTTCAGGTCCCGATATGGTTCCTGCTCTCTGATCTCAGAAACAGCATGAGACAGGCTGATATTTCCACCACAGATCTGTAAACACTTCTCCAGAGCACACAGACAGGAGAGCACACAGCACACAACACAGGCTCCAGCGCTCTGCTGATCAACACAATAAAAGGATCTTACACTAGCTCTCTGACGGAACCTGAGTCTGCTCAAGGCTCAACACGACTCCCATGCCCAGCTGTGGACCTCCAGCAGGTTCTGGCCTCTGCGGGTCCCATACTGGGCCAAAGTGGGGCAACTTCCTGGACAGACATCCTGAAGACTGGGTGCCCAACCTTTGACCTCTGAGCTGGATATTCCACACACACCAGGTGAAGATAACAAGATCTGTGCAAGCCTCCTTCATGCTCTGACTTAAGTACTTAAGGAAGTACTTGTCATGCAGACTTCAACAGAAAAGATCCTCCCCTGAATGGGTGAAGGAACGCTGTACTGGGATCAACTGGAACACTGGAGCTGCAAGAGCTGCACTGGGATCAACTGGAACACAGGAGCTGCAAGCAACTGGTGTAACTACAGAGCAGCTAATGCATCTTCTGCCTGCTGAGATCAGGGCGGTGTGCAGTCAAGACAATGTTATATTCCTGGGAGATTTAAACTTCCCCCCATTTTATTACAGACACTGTGATGGGGGTTTAAGAACATAAGACAGGTTATAGACGACAGTAGTCCCTGCAGAGGAGTCCAGCCTGTTCAGAAGCTAGTAGCTCACTGATCGCAGGTTCCTATCCAGCTGTTTCTTGACAGGAACCAGGGCATCGGCTTCAACAACACAACTGGACAGCTAGTTCTAGTCTCCCACCACCCTCTGGGTAAAGAAGTGCTTCCAATGCAGAAGCAGATTATAACTGGAACAGTTGATGATCATGTCAGAGCCCAGTCTGTGAAGAGCCCTAGTCCACAGGAGGTGAGCCCGTGTTACAGAGAGCCCGGTGTCTTCTGGGTATGGCTCCCCCTGAGCTCTTAGTTACAAAGTGGGTTTCATGTTAATTAACTTCTAGCCTGGCTCCAGAGTGTTTTGCAGATTACTATACCTTTAACAAAGTCAAAGTTATCAACTGTAAAATATATTAAGAAAACATTAGGTTCATTGTTTAACTGACAATTCAGGTTGCGACAAAACCCAGAACAGACTAGACCCTCCAGGAAAGAAAGTCTGAAAACCCTGACCTACTCCTTTCAAACAACCAGAACAGTATTAACAGAACTACAGTGTGTGACTGAGCCACTGTAGAGTTACTGTTGACACACACTTTCCTTTTCAAGAACCTGGGATTAAAATGAGGGTGTATAGTTTATGAACAGCCCACAGTGAAGGAGTGGGGGGGCTTACAGGCAGTGAGTGAGCTGGGAACAGAAGAGAGTGGTTATACTTAAAAAACCATGTTGAAGGTTCAAAACAAATTCATCCCTAAACAATCATGTCCATGTCTAGGAACATAAAGGATATACACTCTGATGAAAACATGAAGACAACAGCTCAGAGGGAAGAGAGCACTTCCACAGACTGTTTTAAGAGTCCCAGGATTCAAAGATGTAAAAGAGTAAAATGAGCTGCATCTGAAAAAGGACATTAGAGTCGCCAAGCAGGAGACAGAAAAGAATATTGCAACAGAGGCAGAAAATAAGGCAGAGCTGCTTCGGCGCAACAACAGTGAAAGAACAGGAAGAGGTGTATTATTTAATGAGATAATGAGGGATCGATAATGGTAGATTAGAAACAAAAAGCAAACATTCTACATGAATATTGTATTTGCAACAGAAGATATTAATAACATGTCCCCGTGTTACAGAAAACAAGGTACAAGAAGTGTTAACACGCTTGAGAAAGTTGTGGGTGTCTGGAACAGCTGACAGGAATTGTTCATTCCATGCAGAAAGATAATTTAAGAATTCCTGGACTCCCTTCGGATCGCTTCTGATCAGTATTCCAGGCAACGGGCATTGTCAATACAAATGGAGTACTGCATGTAAAACAGGACAACATTGTAAAAAACGTAATTAGAAATGTTTTTTTCTGCAAGACTAACTCACCAAACTGTCCATCTGCACTGAGTGTTTTAATATACACAGACCTAATCAGCTACTGCACTGCAAGTCTCTGTAGTCCGTGTTAAAACACAACGAGCTGCTCTGGACACACTACCGGCACAAGCGAAGGGACGTGACGAGCTTCAGTGCTGACAGGAGGAAAGACTTATCGCTCATTACTCCCTGTTTGACCAGGGGCTGAGCTGGCGCTGAAAAAACACCCCGGTCACTGTCGGCTGGAGAGGTGACCCAGGCTCAAACCCACGACACCTGGAGCCCGCCTGCAGCAAACCGCTTCACTGATTGACCACTGGGCAAGCTCCTGGATCGGCAGTGGACCCACATGTCTCTGCTCTAAGCTGAACCACCCTGCTGCCAGGAGAGTACAATGCGAGACCCTTCTCAAGCAGGGATCTCGCCAGCAGACAGAGGCTTTCAGCCACAGCAGGCACTCCAGAACCTTCCTCTGACCTATGACCTCAGCTCCTAACTGACCCCAATCAAGCCCTTAGACTGACGGGTCTGCAAGCTCAGAGCTCCTGGTCAGTGCCTGCCTGTGCACTGGCGAGCTGGCCACTGCCTGCTTGTGGCCGAGACAGACTCTGGACCAGGCCGGACTGGACTGGACCCCCAGGGCCTGGACAGACCCTCACTCCTGAGCTCCTCACACTGACAGGGTTACTTCTGAAACCCCACAGCACCGACACCCTCAGGGCACTGTGGGGGGCAGTAAAAGTGCAAGCAGACTGTCAGGGTACACAGATAACAGCACGGAGTCGAACTGGAGAGACCTCATGCTAAACCTGTACACTGGACACAGCTCAGTCCAGACAGGAACAAGCAGATCCACTACAGGACTGAACCTTTCCTGCCTCGAACAGGTTGGACTAAGATTCAAGTATTCACGAACCCCAGAGTCAAACCAGGGGACGTCTTCATCATCTAGGGAGAAACACGAGCCAGAGGGTTAGAGGGGAAACCACACTGAAACACAGGGAAAACTGAGAACAGGAGGCCCTGCGCACTACGAGTTGTGGGTGTGTGGAACAGGTACACAGCCATGATGCTGAAGCCGATACTCTGGTTTCCCTCAAGACACAGCTGGATGAGTTTCTCCCATCAGGACGCGACGGGAGTACTTCTTTACACACAGAGTGTTGGGAGTGTGGAACAAGCCACCCAGCCATGTTGTTGAAGCCGAAACCCTGGCGTGTCTTAAGACACAGATAGATGAGATCCTGAGATTAATCACCAACAGCTGCAGGGGCCAGGAGGGACAGCTGGGCTGCTGTCCTGGGAGCCTTTGACTGGGGTCACAGCCAGAGGAGGAGCAGGGATCGATCCCCCTCTCTCAGGTGACAGGGAGGTGGGGGCGCAGTATTTTCTGATGGGCAGTAAGGTGAGCTGCCTGACTCCTCCTCCCTCCAAACTCACAGCGCAGCACCGCACCGAACCGGACCGGGCCGGGCCGGGCAGGGACAGACAGGTCAGAGAAGAGCAGAGCAGGGGGCTGAGTACTGCACGGCCAGCTCACCCGAGCAGGGGCGCAGCGCCGAGCGCCGGGGCATCACGCCACCCTCCGCGCTCACACGGCCCCACGGCACGTGCTCCCACCCCCCCCCACACACACAGCTGGCACACTTACACACAAACAGGATTACATCATCGCCCCCAGGCGGCCGCGCGCACACGCGCATCCACACACACACGCTCGCATCCACGCAGGACCGCCGCGCTCTGCCCCACGGAGACAAGACACTACGGACACACCGGCGCTCCCTGCCCTCTCGGCGGCGCCACGGAGACCCGGCCGGCAGGGCTGTGTGCTCCTTCCTCCAGGGGCACCGGCGCCCAGCCCCGTCCCCAACAGCCGACAGCTCGTCACACCACCCGCAGACACAGTCAAGGTTACAGCCGCGATTACACACAGCAGCGCATCCGAGTTCCTCCAGGAGGACAATATCCACAACATCCGCGACAGACCTTCGCCTCGCACCCGCGCTCCGTGGAGAGGCGAGATTCTGTCTTCCCACTTGCATTACATAACGCGTGTCGGCTCTCGCCAGCCCCGCCGCTGCGGAGAGAGAGCAGCCGCACCGTCCCCCGTCCCCGGCACCGACAGGCACCGACAGGACCGACACCACAGCCTCCCCTCTCCTCCTCCTCCTGCCTGCGGGATGCGCACAGCCGGGCAGCGCTCAGGCGCCACGCTCGGCGGGATCGCGGGGAGGAAAGCGCACAGCCGCGCGGTGCTCGGACTCGTTTGTAATGCAAATGAGGCGCACTCCGTCCTCCGGGTGCTGCTACCTGCGAGCAGCCCCACTTACTGTTGGCAGCGCCGCAATCAGCGTTCTGTGGCTCCGGCCCCCCCGGCCGCCCGGACTCCTCTCCTGCGCCTGCCGGGCTCCCTGCCTGGGCGCTGGGCGCTGCTCCCGTCGCGCCGGGACCTTCTACAGACGAGCGGGCTACACTGCCGTGCGCAGCTCGCACATCGCCTGTCGAGGTGACGCTGGAGACGAGCCAGGCTGCCAGTCCCGCACACCGCCGCGACTCTGCACACGATCAGCTGGCTCACACGCCCACCTCCGCCCCGCCCCCCGCACGCCGCAGCTCCGCTCGGCACAACACCCGCAGCGCGCCTGCGCAGGACGCGTTAACAAGAGCACCCGGCCCGGACCCCGGACCCCGGACCCGTCCTGTCCGCGGGCGCGGGCGCTCGGCCCCTCGTGTTACACAGCTGCCACCGCAGGGTTGGTTCCGGTCTGCTCCGTCTTGTGCCTGGCGATGCCCTTCACGTGATTCAGGATTGCAATTTGTTATAGTCACAGGTTGGGAGATGCTGTGTGGAAGCTACCAACTCCTCTGGACTTGGAAGGGCTCATTTTAAAAACACAGGGCTCTTATTATGATGTAAAATACTGTACGACAATCCTGATGTTATTATCCAGCTTTCATCCACCAAAAGCAAAATAGCAGCCCCGTTCAAGCCTCTTCAGCTGCAGATCAGCCCAGTCCAGACTGAGCCAGAGCTCCAGAGGACGGGATGACAGTGTGATGTCATCGTAGTGCTGCGAGTGACTAGCGCCACCTGGTGTCTGCTACACTGCTGTGTGTGCTGAGATCAAGAGGTCCACCTCCATCAGATTTGAAATAATTCGTTAATGTTTCCTCACATTCCTGCAACACGCTTCATCCCAAGCTCTTCCCAAGTGGAGCCCACTCTTCAGGACACTGCAGAGGGATCGACTGTGAGGCCAGTGGCCACAGGAAGAGCTGCAGAGCTCAGCTGGTGAGGGGGGAGAAGAGGTCCATGAGCTGACAATCTCCCGTCAGTCCACAAAAATGGCCTGTGTTCAACTGAAAGAAAACACCTTAAATCTCTCATGGAGTCTGGAAAAAAGCATCTGAGTGATTCTGCACATGTTGAAAATGGTACAAAGTAAAAGTGGCAGAATTGGAGCTCTGGGGTTGGATCTGGCGTGTTGCAATGTGGAACACCGCCCAGTGAGCACCAGCCCGACGGTCCAGCGGGGCCTGGGAAGCTTTTCAAGGCTGATGGGAACATAGAGCAAAGTACTGTCACACCCAAGAGGAAAACCTGCTTCACAGGTGGAACTTGGACAAATGTTGACCTTTCAGCATTAAAGTGGCCCAGAGCTACGCAGCTCACCTCCTCCAGGACCCCAGTCAGAGCCCAGACGTGAGTCCCCCTGAGACTGGAAAAGTGCGCTGTCCATGAAGGGATGCCCAAGAGCCCTGAGAGAGCTTGAGCACATCTGCCAAGAAAGTGGACAGAAGTGACCCGCGCCAGCGTGCGAGGCGGGTCGAGACTCAGTCACGAAGGCTTGTGAGCTGTCAAGAACCTGATGACCGCCAGAGGTCCTCCAGCAAGGACTGAGCTCACAGGCAGAATTCTCATGCAATCACCATACAGTATTTCACCTTTTCCCTTTTGATTTTAGATTTAGTGTAACTTATCTTACCATTTGTCTTCATTTGAGCATTCAGGTTTTGAATAAAATATTAAGTTTGGAAAAAATGAGTAGCCGTAACTTTTCTAATTTCACAAAATGGGACACCGTAGGAAGGGCCTGAGCACTTTGGCTAAGGTATTGTAAATATTTTCATTTTTTCTGACCCACAAGTATCCCTTAAACCTGCAGATTCCACTGCTTTCCACTCTAGTATCTAAATGCATCTTTTTTTCTGAACTTGCTGCACAGTCAGCAGAATCTCCTTCCCCCTAATTGTGAATTTAATTGATCTCTTCAGTCACTCTCCAGCAGATTGATTCAGATTTAGTTGCTCTATACAATGAACGAGCCCTGCGGAGCCCCTGAAGTGCGACTGTCCACTCGGCTCCGGTTCCACATCCGTTATCCTCCGTCAGCCCACTCTCCGCAGTCAGCTTTTAGCTCATTTGTACAGCAGACTGCAACACCACTGCTTTGAAAGGGTGCTAGACAAAAACATATTTCTCTAGTTTGACATTATATTGTGTTATATTGTTCATATATTAAGACAAGACTGTGTCTGCATGGAAAGGTGCTTTGTGAGAACTGGGAATCCTTTGGGATAAACCTGTTGTACAAATGCAAGCAATTATAGTTATTATCAATTAAGGAAGAGCCAAACTGAGATCCCATCTCCTTAAGGACTGACTCCAGAACAGCTGTAGCTGAGGAGCCACCCCTGTGGGCCCCAGCCCTTGGCCCCTGTCTGTGTGCTTACAGAGGAGACCGCAGGGCCTGCAGAACAGAGAAGTACCACACACAGGCCAAGAGACCCTATTCACAGGGCTGACAGGAAAACTGAACACACAGCACTGACGTCCGTCTACAAGAATGTGGAAAAACCTAATCAGGTTAATGATGGACCCAGCTGCCCTGGAATCACTGAGTGGATCAATGTTACGGGAGGCAGACAGCATGGGACCAGACAAGGAGTGATCCTGCCTTTCTGACGGGGGCAGTGGACACAGCGAGTACTGTACTGGCCAAGGACGTGAGGAGGTGTATTCGCTCTGCAAGGTCTGTGATCACGTTCCCCCCAGCAGGTTAAGAAGACAAGGTGCAAACAAGACAGGGTGCAGGCAGCCCCTCAGACGTGTTTGGTAATTAACACTAATTGGTCCCAGGATCCCATCCATCGCGGAGACCAGAACCAGGGCACAATCTCGAGCTCGCCAACCGGAACCCCTCACAGAAAGCTCGGTCAGGCTCAGGGGTCCGCCCGGACAGTGGACAGCGGGATCCATGGTCTTCTCTTGCTTCGAACCCGTGCAGTGTCCTTATATCCAAGTAGATACAGGGTAATAGGTGTAACAATAGGTCAAATATGTATTCACAGCTGATACTTCACAGCTCTTGTGTCCTGGGTTTGAGTCATGGACTGTGGCCTGTGTGGAGTCTGCATGCTCTGCCCTTATTCGTGCAGGTTTCTGCAGGGACTCCTGTTTCATTGTGACTTTCAGCACACCTCCGCTGGCCGTGTGTGTGCTCTCGGTCCGGGTCTCGGACTGCCCTGGGCCACAGGAGATTTCAGACAATGGATGGACAGACAGAGCTGTACTAACTACAACATGAATCATATTACTCATGTTAACTACATTTTACACACTGCTTCTAGATCTTACACTATTACAGTCCTTGATATGCACTGTGTTGCTCCTTTAAAACTGTATTTCAGAATTATTATATCATTACAGAACTACAGTTTCCATAATATCACCATGGTAAATGACAGAGCAGGCTTTTCCAGGGAATGTGCTGGGACAGACACTCTCACTGTACTGCACTACCGAACACAGCACAATAAACACAGCACTGCAGTGCTGTTTCCACAGAACACAGCAGGTGGGAGGAAGTGACATATTCAGCACACACATCTGGTCACCTGTGAAATAACACTCACGTAGTCAACTGCGGTAGGCCCTGGAGCAGCAGGGCACTCATACACCCTCGTACACACCGTCACACACAACCTCTCACACACACAGTAAAGAGCCCTCACTGTCTTGCTCACAGGAGCAGTAATGGCTGAATGTCAGCTGAAGGGGAGGAGCAGAATTAGGCTCCTTTCACAGTCTGAAGTAATGAACAGGGACTAAGACAGAGGGAGGCAGTGTGGGCCAGTGGGTAGAGCCCAGAGAGAGGGAGGAAGTGTGGGCCAGTGGGTAGAGCCCAGAGAGAGGGAGGCAGTGTGGGCCAGTGGGTAGAGCCCAGAGAGAGGGAGGCAGTGTGGGCCAGTGGGTAGAGCAGACAGGACTGGAGAGAGTTGACAGGTTTTCTAATTTTAAGTTCCCTATTTTTAAGTTGATTTTAACTGACAGGATGCATGAGGAGATCACCCACCTGCACAACTCCCTCGTGTGTGGCTGGGAAGTCTATGAGGATTGCAGTGTCCCTGTGTTCAGAGCATGCATGTTTGAATGGCAAGAAACTCACACACACACTCACACGCTCCCCTGAGGCCCCCCTTCCTCTCCTCTCTCCATTCACAAATTTCCTGGTGACATCAACTTGTCAGGGTTACTATGGTGACGGGCTCCAGCCAATGGGAGCCTGGGAACCAGTCAGGTGATAACAGAGGACGAGAGCACTGCCCTTCTCTCTCACTCTACAGCGGGAGGGTCAGATTAACCCAGCATCCTGAAGGAGCTGTGCAGGATCCTGTCGGGATTATGACCCCTGGGTCATAGCTCCTGGGTCCTGGCTCGGAAGACTGTTCCTTCAGGAAAATGGGAAGCCTTGAACAGTGAGAGCTTTGCTTTTAGTTTTATTTTCTCAACAGAAAGATTTCCATGAAACAAACTGTTCAAATCTAAAACAGACAGAAGCATCATTAACATGCGCCTCCAGGGGCTGGGTGGAAGGGTCTGAGGTAGCAGGACTCTCCTGGGCGGTCAGGACTGGCCACTGTGCAATCGGCAAGCCTGTCCCACATTTCCCAGTATACACTGAGCATCAAAACTGCAACAAAACTGGGCTCACGTCTAGGGAGTGGGGTTTCTCTGCACCTCCGGCACCATGTCCTGCTGCCGTCCTGCTGGAGCGCCGTCATGCCAGCTGAGGCCCCAGGGTGGCGCCGTGGAGTCAGGGTGCCTTCAGCTCCCATGAGAAAGAGCTGAGGACACCCCTCTCCACACCCTCCTCAAGGCCTCTGTTCATCGCTGGAGGGGCGTGCTGGGCCTCCCAGGAACTGCAGCTGGAGCTCTATGGTCACGGGTTCGAGTCCAGGCCATGTCACACAGCTCTGTGTCGAGCCCTGTGGTCATGGAGTCACGTCACAGACCAGCAGCAGCACCACCTGAGCTAATAATTGGCACAGCGGAGAGGGCGGTGCGAGTCTCAGCGGCACAGCGCCCCCTGTGGCGGGCTCGTGCGGCTCGTGGTGAGGGATCAGCCATGCTGGGGCTGGGGGCTGTGTCTCCGGTTTGTGATAGAAGGCAAGAGGCCTTGGAGAGGGAGTCTGTCCGCTCTGCCTCTCCTGCTGTGTGCAGAGACGGAGGGCGTAGCCTTGAGCCAGGACTTGTACACAGAAAATAAAGAGGCTTCGCTCGCCTGCTGGGGCGCTTCTCCAACCCTGCACAGCCCGGTTCAGGACACGGGCATGGCTGTCCGCCTCCGTGCTTCTCTACTGAACTTCGCCAGGGCAAATCGCCTCTACACCTGTCCTCCTGCACTCCTGAGCCAGACCCCTCTCACCCGGCCCGTGGTCCAGCACTACTGCAACAATGTCACGACTGTCCGCTCGTTACTGACCAATTAATCATAATCAACAACAGCAACAATACTTAATCAATATCCAAAATCCATAAGCATTATGTTCCTACAAACACATGAATAAATAATGTCCTGCGTTTCAGAAGGACCTGACCTGACCTGTTCTCTGTGCTTCCGTTCACAGTCACCCCGCTGGGGGGCACCCCCCCAGCATTACAGAGACTGGGACCAGGCCTTTACAAACGGGGTGACAGCCGTAACCCCACTGACAGTTTCAGAGCTGGGTAGGATAAATCATCCGGATTAAGACAGAACTGATACCACAACATCACTTGGAGCCTGAAGACTTCATGCACACCCAGATATAAGGCTGTTTAGCAGAAGGAAGGCACAGGGTGATTGAGTGCAGT